ATTTTACGAAATTCTTGCAGTTTTTAGTGTTTTGAATAAAACTTGTTTTTGGCTGACACAGCATCTTTCCGAGTTATCGGTGAAAGGAAAAATTTGGGACTGAGTGAAAAGATTCTGGAGACCATAAATGCCTTATCAAGAATTCTTCTCAAAAAAAAAAAACCCCTGAAAACCTAAGTTACAGCTTATATGCTCAAATACTGGAAAGCAGGCATAGGAATTGCCGTGATCCTGTATCATCCCTTAGCCGTTAACAAAGACCGAACGCTGCCTGGGGCTAAATGCAAATAGAACTCTGTTTGCAATAAATTCATCTCCATTAAAACGTCGTTCCGAGTTCTTGACATACTTTAAAAATTACGAAAAGCTCCGGTATTCCTCTTTTGTGTTGAAGGGGGCCAAGATCGTTCACGTAAGAAGAAGAGGAAATTGCGAAAAAATTGAGTTAAAGAGCCAGATTTCGTGGTACAAAATTGAGGGTAAGCTAAAAGATGCCAAAATAAGGGAAACAGAATTGCCAAAAAGCATGAAAATAAGCGAAGAATGGCTAAAACAATAAAAAGATTCACTAATATTGAATACCAGGAATACCAACGGTCGGTCAATTAGTTTTGGTACCCCGTGTCAGTGGGACTATTGAATGTGTCCCAGAAATTTTAAAAATACAAACAGTGAACATCTCTGGCCAGGGGATTGGAAGAAGACAGGGGCCTAAAGTCTTCTACATGTTACCATGTGCATTTTGTTTGGCGTTGTTGACTCACTGTTGAGAGGATATGTTTTTGCATGTCGAGCACACCTATGTGAGGCCCTTCGATTCTGTGTTAAGTGTCTGATAAGTTTAGAAATAAGCTTCAAATGTGGTACCAGAATGCTTAAAAAATAGAAGTGCAAATCTACTGATAGTAATGTTCAGTGGAAGTACTGGCAAATGATAAAATAGAAATGGGTGGGAGAGGACAGGGTGGTCATTTTGATAACTTAGGACTGGAAGTCCACTCACTGATAACATCTAAAAGAGATTGTTTAGATAAAAATTTACCTTTTATCTTATGTGAACTGAACAATTCACGTGGCACTGCATCATCAGCAGTATGTGCTGAAGTAAATCTAAGCTCGGTTTTTGCGCACTTTTTAGGAAGACCTACTGTAGAAACTGTAGTCAAAATTAAACTACAGATTTGGAATTTTTTAATTTCATACTTGAAAAGGCTACTAATTTGCTGTTTGTGCTGTGGCCGAAAAGATGTTATTTTCTTTTTTTATTTCACGATTATTTTGATAAATGCTGGTTATTATTGTTTGATGATTAACCTTGTTGCGATTCTGGTATTCCCTTCGTCGCCTGGAGGGTTTACCGGATCTGTGGCTTTCCCAGCTGAAGCAGCTTTAGCCGTTTGATATTTTAACAGTAAATACCAAGCGTC